CCCTGGATGTGGCCGCAGGAGGAAAATTGATGACAGATCAAAGAGACGGATAATCCGAATGGTAACAAAAGAGCCCAGAAAGACTTCTAAAGAGATCAAAGCTGAACTTCATGCTCAACGAACATCAGTGTTAGTTCACACCATCTGTTGTTGTTTGAGCCAAAGTAGGCTACATGGGAGACGACCGAGGAGGACACCATTGTTGAAAACAAATCATAAAAAAGCCAGACTGGAATATGCCAAACTACAGTTGACAAGCCACAGAGCTTCTGGGAGAATGTCCTGTGGACAGATGAGACAAAAATTGAACTTTTTGCCAAGACACATCAGCGCTATATTCACTGATGGAAAAATGAAGCATATCAAGAAAAGAACACTGTCCCAAATGTGAAACATGGAGGAGGCTCGGTTATGTTCTGGGGCTGCTTTGCAGCATCTGGCACAGGGTGTCTTGAATCTGTGCGGGGTACAATGAAATCTCAAGATTATCAAAGGATTCTAGAGAGAAATTTGCTGGCCAGTGTCAGAAAGCTTGGTCTCAGTTGCAGGTCATGGGTCTTACAACAGGACAATGACCCAAAACAAGCAGCTAAAAACACCCAAGAATGGCTAAGAGGAAAACATTGGACTATTTTAAATTGGCCTGACCTCAATCCTGTTGCGCATCTTTGGAAGGAGCTGAAACATGCAGTCTGGAAAAGGTGCCCTTCAAACCTAAACACCTGGAGCAGTTTGCTCATGAGGAGTGGGCCAAAATACCTGCTGAGAGGTGCAGAAGTTGTGTACCTTCATAACTGCAAGGCTTCAGTTGAACCACACTCTGGGCTGAATCGCTTTCTTGGGGTCATCCCGTCACATGGTTTATTGATTTATTGTCTGTGCCTCTATAAAAGGTCTAAGTTCTTAGTTTGAAGCCAATCTGTGATAGATTTTATTTACCATGTAGGGCCATTGATTGTTGCAACACATATAAGCACACAGGGGGACCTGAAACCAGACAGCTGGTAGCAAATAGCTGAATGATCTAAACTTAGCTTGACTTATCACTTTCATGACGCATAAACAAGCATGGAACTTTCCCGTGTCATCAAAACTACAATGTGTTTATTTTGCGTGACGACATTGAAGCTTTTTTAACATAAAATATTAATTTGAGTAAATGTTATAAATTTAACTTGTTACAAAAACCATAAAAACCACACATCATTCCTCTGATCGTGTTTAGCACACTTCTACTGCCGTTCTTTTACAATAAAAGGCTGTCCGTAACACATTTATCAATATACCTTTTCATTTTCTATTTACAGTCAAAATCTGTGACGCGAATAATATCAGAAATAGTGATAAGTGAGGAGGCTGTTGTCTCTTAATCGGTGTCATGTAAAAACACTGTTATAGTGTGCAAAGTTTGCATCTTATCAGCAAGGTACAATCATGTGGCTCTTGTCAGGGCAGCACTTCATTGTTACCTAATCATTACTTGTGCATGTTGGTAGAGCAAACACAAAAATCCTCTTCAACAAAAGGCAAATATAATGATCGCAGTCCAGCTCACACTGACAGTGTCTCTCTCACAAATT